TCTCACTCTCCGTGAAATGATTCAGATGATACAAACTGTGATCAAAGAATTACTTCCACATAGGATTCACTGAGGTTTCTTTCCCATGAATGTTGGTGGTGTCGACAGCCTACTATTGGTTAGACTAACAGACCCGTAATCGGGAAATTGTGGGTTCGGGGATTCGAGCCGTAGCTCGGTCCGACGTTGTGTCCGTGGAAAAGGCACTTTACACGAGTTTCCCATTTGGCTCGGTCCTATCTGAGATGGGCGTTAGCCTCGGAGGTCCAGCCTCTTAAATAACATAATAGTGTTAATAGGGGCAATAAACCCAAACCATTTCACATTCAACAGCCATGTTCCCACCTGTATTGGGTGCAGCTTGGTCTTGACACTGCCCAGGCCCTCCACGGTGGTCACTGCTATCCCATGTAGAGCACACAGGGGCGCCAGGCAGGAGTTAACAGCGTAGTGTATGGACACTGGTCAAGGGAGTGATTTCAACACGACACGATTTATAAATCATAAAGAACTTTACGTTTCTCGTCCACTTACAGAATTAAAAACGAAAAATTTACAGACACGATTTGAAGAAAAAGTGAAGGATGAAGAGAGACGCCAGTGAAAAAGAGAAAAGCGCTGGTGAAAGTAGAGAAGTTTCATTTCATCACTGCAGGTCTTTAAACATCAAAACTTAGATCTAGAGAACAAAACTTCTGACCTAGAATACAAAAGGTATATGTGGTTTATAGAATGAGGGAACTAATCAGGAACTTTTTAACAACTCACGATAATTTAAATAACTGAACTGCCTTTTTGTCTCGCAAAAACTACTTTTTAGACGGGATTTTTTAAGGCTCAGACCCGACGTTGTGTTCTTGAGAAAGGCATGTCGCAGGATTTTTCCTCATTTCACCCAAGTGTGAATGAGCACTTGGAGAAAAACAGAAAGATCTTGTCAGTATATCAGTATTTCAGCACATTATGTAAAATAGTTGTTCGCACTGTATGATTTCCTGATAGTTTTCAGAATGCTATCAGGTCTGCTGGTGTAATAATAATGTAGATTGTAAAGCGCATAAAGCGTGCTGTTGAGCGGGGATAAGCGCTATACAAATGCTATTTATTTATTCATATTTCCCCAAATACTATTAATGTATTATCATTGTCTGACTACAGCCCCACAGTGTAAAAGGATACTTGATCACATTCAGTGTGACATCAAAACGAGAGAACATGACGGTGCAGGCCCCACAGCCACCTTCAGCACACCCAGACTTGGTACCTGTCAGCTGGACTGAGTGCTCATAAGGGAAATTAAAAAAAAATCTGATTTCTAAAGAAGCAAAACAGAAATATAGCTCATAGAACTTACCTAAAGGAGTAAACAACCAATGACTAGGTTGCAAATAAATATTGAGAAGCAAAAGATGCAAACGCAGGGAGAAAGACGGCGAGACAGAGATAGAGTGAAAGACTGTATGAGTGTATGCACACATGCTTTGTGTGTGTGTGTGTGTGTGTGTGTGTGTGTGTGTGTGTGTGTGTGA